CTTGTACTTTGAAACGGAGAAGAAAGGATGCGTTTGGAGATGAAGTACAATTTTTTGTTCATATTTTCCGTGGACTCGGTTACAAATCGGTCATTCGCGTAGCGCCCGAGACGTGAGCCCGCGTCCGCGTGAAACGAGAGTCACGCGCCACCACCTATCCCCGTGTGTAAGCGCCTATTCGGCACTTTGCAAGCCAAACAGCCCCGAAGCGTCAAGTACACCGGCAACTTCTTCCCGTCTTTTTTGGACTAAATATTTCTCCGGGCATGGCCAAACACGAAAGGAAGCCCCTACCGTTCGTCGACAAAAACAAAACACGGCGAGGATCAATACAACCACCTCATACCACCCTCTTGTTATCCGTAGGAAAGAAAATCGGCCCCCTGAGGGACCAGGGGGTATACATACACAGGGAGCGCTAATAAAAATCACAAAGGAAACAATAATAGCCCCCAGAGCCGGGGCGCGTGGGTTATGAATTTCCAGGAGTTTTCCTCGAGGATGCCCCGTTAAAGTGGCGCGGTATCTCTGGTACGCATGTCGACTCTCGAGCGATAAACAATGTTCAGCGGGGAGTTAGAGCGGAGCGATAAGAGGACAACGGGAGCGTATACAATCGGTGGGCGATGAATCTCGACGGAACTCTGCCGAAGCAGGTGATGAAAAAAAAAAAAAAAAAAAAAAAAAAACTCAAATAGACAGAAAAGAATCTGGATTAGAGGGAGAAGGAGGAGTGCGTGTTTCTATCTCGGTGCACTGTACTTACTGGGGCTCGAGGGCAAATCGTGCAGCCCCGCGAAAAAAGCCAAAGAGCCCTCGTCGCGTGCGTGCACGTGGATGGTACAAAAAGGGCCGGGGAAAATTTGAATTTCGCGCGCGTTTCGTCTCGTCGCGGTGTCGGTCTACTTTTCCTCGGAATGGGAACACGCGCGAGAAAACTCGTCACCGTGGCAATGCGCGTACTACTTCGCTCCAAACTTCTTCCTTTTATTTTTCCTCCGATCCTACGCGAGCGAAATTTATGAAAGGCGGCTCTCGAACTAACCGAAGACCGTAACATGTACTTATGCGCAGCCACAGTTACTTGTTTCCATTGAATCAAACGCATTACGGCCGACGAGGCTTTTTTTAGACGAACAAGAGCAGAGGAAGTGTTGGAAAGCAACGCAATTTTGACGAGCGTACATACACACGACGTCTTACACGTTGCTTGGCCTTTAATCGTGGAAAATTCGTGAAAAATTATTTTCAATGCGCCTCTCTGTTGATTTGGCGTTTGCTCAAGAATATCGAGAAGGAAACTGATCTCTTTGGCGTCGATCGGAAAAACTGATACATGTAGCACAATTCAACATTGAGCTGTAGCCAAACACAGCGGATTTTCGTTTCGTTTGTTCCAATGACTTTTGTGACTGTTGATTGAAATTTCATAATTATTTCACCGGAGATAAATTCGCTCATCAGCTCGAATAAACAACAACAACGACGACGAAATCGATGAACCTTTTTTTATAGTTTTTCAATAGCGGAAAAACAAAAAAAAAGTATGCAAACACAACCTGAATCAGCATATACTTACTCGCAAACGAAGCGACTCGAAAACTAGGTGTCGAATCTTCCGCGGGTGCAACCGCGAGTCGTATAGGTATAAGCGTCACTCTGGGAGTCGTTCCCGCGGCGTAACTAATTTATGAGCGACAAATAAGGATATTAGCCTCGGCGCGAGGGCGTGAAATTTATACCCCGGCAACGCCGCCCAACCGGTGCACGGCTTGCATATTCATGAGAGCTCGCGGAGACACAAACGGACTTGCGGGGCGGGAGCTTTCCGCTCCTCGTTCTCTAATAAGAATTCACACGCTTTCGGAAAAGTCTTTTTCTTCGGGCGAGGGAGAATAAACCGGAGCTCGTACGTTCCACTCTCTTCGTCCCGTGACCGCGCAAATCTGGGGTTGAAATTTATGTTTTAGCTCTAGCGCATAAATTTCCATACCACCCGACTGGGGGGGGATTGACTCGCGAACACGTGCTAGTCCTCGAGGACTGTCGTCGAACTGCCGTCTTTGCCGGATTTTCTTTGGGCGCATATATTTATGTGTTTTCCCACAGAGAAGGGGAATTTTAGAAAAGTGGATGAAGGGGTGTTACATCATTTCACATTTCCAAGTGCTCGCAGTGGATAGAGGACTCTTTGAGGGGAGTTATGCTCACACACCCATATCTCTGGAAAATTAGATGGTAATGTTGTACACACGTGATGGGGGGTTTTCTAATTAATTATGTTGAAATTTCATGGTGAGCCTGAAAGTGAAGTCTTTGACACTGTTTTCTCTTTGAAGCTTCGGGTATGAGCAAACGTGGTTGAAAGATTAATTAAGGTGAAAAGAAGAACACAATTTTCACACTTAATTAACGAAACTGAATTTTCAATATGTTTTCACAACGGTGTGATGAAGATTTTTTCGAAGTTTACAAATCATGAAAGCAACCAATAAACTTAGACACGAGGTATTTCCTTAAAAAATCCCTGCTATAACTGTGAATGGATTATTTGCCTTCCCCATCTCCCTTTCCATTTCACGGAGGAGCCCAGTGCTGTTACTACCACCAAACCCGAGCGCACGAAAGTTCGCTCCGTAGTATTGATTTACGAAAACCCAAAGGCGACTCGAAAGTCGAGCGTGTGGGTCATTCAAAGCGAACCGTATCATACATGTACACCCAACTTTTCTCCCAAAGCGAGCCACGTTCGAGCTCTTTATGCGTCGATTTCAGCTCCGTACCCGCGACATCTCGTTGGATCCTTTATTTTATCGCTCTCCAAGCGCACATTTGAGTATTACGAGGGTTGAACGACTTTCCAAGAGGGGTAGGTGTCGTTACTCGATTACTATGTATGCACGTGGACTACGAGTAGAGTGAAAGCGAGCTTTTAGTCCTCGTAAAACGCCAAACGCAGAACAGACTTTGGCTGCACGTGTACGTTCATTCGTTGGAACGCAAATTATGCCCGATCGAGTAGCTCATCGAACGATCCAACTCTGAGCTCTGCTTTGGGGAACAAAAGGGGGGGGGGGTTGTACGTAAGGTACGGGGGAGCCTTCGTTACACCTGTTGTAAATCTCGTGCACGACAACTCGTCCTTTCGAGAAAGCAGTTGTAGGTGCATTTCGCACCAGGCAAGTCTTTGAATTTCGTGGACGGGAGCACTTTGAAAATGGGCAAAGTTTTAGGGGAGAATTCTAGGTATTAGTCGCGGAATCTGGGCAGCGTTGAACAATCCACAGATGCTCGTATCATCCGGTTTAGAGGTTGCGAGGGGGAGCACGTTGGTTGTTTAGTACGGGGTGCTTTTTTTTCGACGGGAAAAATTCCCCGTCACGCTGAAGCCATTCCGAAGGAATATGAAAATCCATCCCGTTCTGGAAGTACGTTTCATCCGGTGGGGGAGGGGAAAAAAAGGAGAAAAGTTTTAATTAAAAGGAAAAAAGTAGAGCGTATTGAAATTACTTTCGGATTTTTCCGCCATCCGACGTTTCCACGCCAGTGCCGTTGGAAATTGAAAGAAAGAGTTTTTCTCATTCCTCGGAAGTCGGTCGGAAAATCAATGTTTTAGTGAAAAGTCGGCTCGACAGGATTTTAAATACGTTGAAAAAAACTACACCGAACGAACGGTATCGTGGGAAGAAAAAAAAAAGTGCGCTCGTTCGTTCAATCGAAACGCATAAACGTAAGCTCTCAAGAGTTAACATTTTCAAAGATAACGTAAACACTTTCAATCATCTGCACTTTTCTGCAAAACTTTTTCACTTCTGCAAAAAAAAAAAATTAAAAAGCATGCGTATACGTATACGTACGAACTGCATATAAATGCACGGAAACAGAAAAACAGAACTTTCCCGTAAGGCTCGTTCGATCGATTCGATTCCCAGCCACACGTGTACGGGAGCACCTGTTCCGTCTTACCCGTCGTATACGATTATGCATCCGATGTTCTCTCGAGAACACCCGGTGTGAATTCCAAAACTCGTGGGGGTTACACACACACTTTCCCTCCCCCAACCCCCTACTCGCCCATAGGTATAAATGCAGACAGTTCCTGCGTTGCCGGCAAAAGGAAAAAGAGACAGCTCGGAACTTGGAGGGTTGGGGAATGAATTTGCCATGCACGCGCGGAAAAGAGGGTTGGCTCCCGCGGTCGGCCGGGAGGAGCTTTTGACCTCTGGTTTCGGGTCGCGGCTGACCTCGAGACGCAATTACCCGGAGGTAACGAGGTAATAAACAAACGGTTTACCTACTCTTTGACCCTTTTGCGACGATATAATGCACACCCCCCCTTTTCCACCCCAGCCCCCTCTTGATTACAATGAAATTTCACTGTTGCCCAACGCTTCGATTGACTTTCGGTCACAAACGGAGTCTAGTTAGTTAACGATTAGTTGACGATGTATGCGCAACAACAACAATAACCGACAAACAAACGCTTATACACTCCTACGCGAGACGCGATAAAAAAGGACCACCCGATCGATTGATCTTCTCTCTCTTGCTCGGAGACGTAAAAAAGGTCGAGTCACGCTCAAATATAGCGCATGAAAAATTCATGGTAAACCCTTCCCCTGAACTTGTTCTCCGACCACTTGAAGAAAACCAACCCAAATCGCGTATACAGTTGGTTCCGAGTCAAAGTCGCAGTCCTCCGATGGAAAAATACACGGAAAAGCTCGAGCCGCGTCTTGCATTAATTTGCTTGGGTTGTAAATTAAAACCATCCGGCAATTTACGGGGGATCCTTGCCTACACTAGTCGACAAGCTTGAGCTTACCCCCGTATTGCATATAGGTAATGGTCAGGGTGCAGCTTGCACGGCGAAAATCATAGGCTCATGAATATTCACGAAGCAATGTCCCCCTCGATCCACCAACTCGGTGTGCAGCCCAAACTCCGTAACCCAGCAAATTCGGCCTTATTAAAGCGCCGATGAAACTTTTGACTTGCAGACTAGGAGGCGGAGGAGAGCGCAGTGGCTGTGGATGTACACTGTGGCGCTGACGCTCGGTAAAGGGCTGCGGGATCGTCGAACGGCAGCCGGACAACAGTAGCAGCACTCGGTAAGTAGGAGGAGGACCAGGAGCTTGCGTCTAAATCGTATAGGTGTGTATACAAGGACGTGTGTACCTGAGCCATCGGCAAATGTTTGCCCCACCTTTGAAAAGTCGAAAGCTGCACTCGCGGGTACAGCTATGCTCGGTGTGCTCTGCCGATGACATGCCGTGCACACACGCTCCGACTGTGGGGCCGGGATGGATGGGGACAGCATATCCATATACCATATCCCTATATTGGATCCATCGATTACGCGCGCCGTTGCGTGTGTTACCTTCGTTATGTCGCGCTGTTGTTTCACCGGGTGACGTGTTAGCGGTGCCTATACATGTACAACTGCACTTTGGGTTATTATTTCGATGAAACCGCACCTGGTGTCTCTTTTGTTTTTTTCTCTTTTTACACCGCCAGACGGAAGAGTTGGAGATTTACGTTTTTCCCGGGAAAACTCTACGCAAGTGCGAACCAGAAAATGACTTTTTTTTTTTTGTTTTTTCCGTGCTGTCGGCGTTTAACGTCGCGCCGTACTTTTGGTTCATTATTCACAGCTCGTTCACGCCGCGGTAATTTTTCCCGTCCAACCCCGATCGGTTTGTGAAACATTTCGGAAATTCGTCAGAGTATTACGATTGTAGCACCGCTGGTATGTAACGGGGCGTGACGCGAGAGCTCTAGCCCTTCGAAACGCGAGTTCGCTAAAAAATTCTTGGTCGAATTGATGTATGAAAAAAAAACGTGTCTGTAGCAGCCCAGTAGCGAGAGAAGAGCACTCGTTCGGCTTAATTGACACCGAGGGAGCCTAGCTCGCGTTATCTCCCCCTAATTAATAGTCGAGGCCGCACGCCTGTAGCTCTTGAAGAGAGGGTGGAAAAAAAGGAAGGAGCAAGTATCCAAGATGTAGCTCGAGCCGGTAGTTAGTGGGAAAAAGTGGACGTGCAAGCCGTGAAAATGATCGAACGACTGATCCCTCGTTTTAGCCTCCGCGTGTAACTGGGGTAAGAACTCGAGTCAGAAAAAAGGGGGGGAGGGTTGTAGCAAAACGTTTCTCGCCCCAAGGGTCGAGTAACAGGTCGCTTCGGTGTCACAACCCTTTTTTTTCCATCATCCGAGCAACTCGACCTATATACACGAGGATCAGTCTCGAGGTTCCATTGTGTATATCAGGGGCGGAGGAAATATCCACCCGAGCTCGTTTGTCGCCGAGTCTTAATTAATGGATTTTGTGCTTACAGTAGCGCTGCCGAAATTGTTTCGAGCTATTACGCGCGTTTAGGCCGCGCCTCTCTCTTATCCGTACGGTATCGCTCGATGACGGGGCTGTTCGTTTTTTGGCGACGAGCACGTACCTCCTCTTTTTTTTTTTTTCTTTCTTACTCGGCGCGATGATTAATCGGCGACGTGATTTAGCGGTTATGGGATTGAGTTTTTACATCGGGTGATGATAAATTTATCCTTTTTTTTTCCTTTCAATTTCCATTACGAGCCAAATCTACTGCTGCGTTGGCATCTGGCTGTCAATGTCGGGTCTGGAGCTTGCCTCTTCCACGTGGGATGAAAGTTCTGGATCACCGTCAAAATTGAATTTTTCAACTCATTGGTGGGCCTCGTGCATCGGGAAAGAAAAAAAATGCATACGACACGAGCTTTATCGATTAGTTTCTTTGCACACAAGGAATGCTATTTATGCGCGTCTGTGGTTGTTGCATAAGACTACTTCGAGGCAGTTTGAGAGTGACGAGGACTGCTCTCGGCTAATATTGAACCGAGAGAAACTTTACCCCTTTCGCTGCACGTGACGAATATCGTTGGTTGTTGTCGTGCCTCCAAATTGAATGTCGTTGATGGCAACGAAAACGCCACGCTCCGTCGCATCTGTTGACTAGTCTGTGCGCCTAGTAATCCTTTAAATGCGCCACTACCTCGACATTCTAATTACATGGGCTTTCGATCGTGCGAGAGAGGATGTACGACTGTTTTTTTTTTTTTTTTTTTTATATATCAATCGGGGTCTCGGGAACGTTACTCGCGGCTTCATCCAGGTTGATCCGATTGTAGAGTCCTTTTTTTTTTTTTTTTTTTTTTGTTAATCGGTATATCGAGTTCTTCATTTATTCAAAAAAATATTTCTTTATAACCAATAATATTGGGGCTTACCTTTTACTATATTATGATTACAGTGCTTGGAATAATCAGTTTTTGTACTTTATGTTACTGTTACCTGAAATATTAAAGAAAAAACATCAAATCCACCTTTAAATTACCGCAGTGGTTTACAGTGTTTGAAAACATTTTTAATTACATGAAAAAAAATAATTTGAAAAATTGAATTTACTTTGGAACCTTTTACCAATCATAATTAAGAGAGACTCTCTTACGTTTTTTTTAATCAAATATAAAAGAAAAAAGAGCTTCTCCAAAGATCTTTTCATTTGAAAAAAAAAAAGGTTTTTTTGATGTCCAATAGAATTTTTTCACTTTCAAAGAAGTAATGTACCTCGTACCATCGTTTAGGAAGAGTGTCCAGATAATTTTGGAGAAAAAAAATAAGAAGTTCCAAAAGTAAAAATAGATCTACTTGAGCTTCAGATTTTCTCCTTTTCACGACTCTCCTTTTCGTCCTGCGGGACCGCGAAGTACAGATCAAAGTTTTCTCCCGAACCTCGTACAACCTCGTCTCCCGTCCAACAACTCTCTCGGTTTTTTTTTTCTTAGGTTCCCTTAAAATTTTCAGCAAAGCAACCAACAAACTCGCGAAACCTATTTGCAAAGTTCACAAGGCCAACTTTTTTTTTCGTTTACCTCAAAATAACCTTTTTTTTTTCACCTCTCATATTTCATTTCACTAGCAGTTTTCCTACATTTTCAAACTTTCGAGTCGCCCAAAGCGCACCACAGCCCTTTGTCGCGAAAAAGAAATCGATCCGTCATTAATTTACCTCCCACTCCCCACTCTTCGTCAACCCTCTCGTTATTAGAGTCCGATTATAAAAAATTAACTACGACAACGGAGGAATTGTAATCATTGATGCTTTGTATACGTGCGTACGTATTTTTTAGCAGCTGGCTCGAGATTTCATTAAATAAAGTTATCGTTTTACGAGGAAACTTTGCAGCCACGGGGGGATGGTGCATTTTGACGCCGGTAACTTTTTTCGTCTCTTCTTTTTTACACGAAGCTGCTCTGCATGAAGTAGAAAAAAAAAAAAAAATTCCTGGCAGTATACGTATACATACACCCCTACATCGGTTAGCGAGCTTGGAAACTGGAGCAAACAAAGTTCGATCGCCCGGCACACCGGGGCAGTAAATAAGTGTGTGCGCACGCAATATACACACGTATAACCACTTGTGAGATGTATAATACAAAGAAAACGGAAAGTTACGAGCTTTCGAGCATCGATGGATACACACACCCACCGCGCACTTGACTCCCTTTTCCCGAGTCTTATCGCTCGTACCCCGAGGCAGGTGTGGAGTTGAAATATTTTCTTCAACGCCAAAAAAGAAACAAGAAATGCAATCCAAAATTTTAGCCACCACGTTATACGTCGCACCGATGCACGCACCATATCTACTTCTACACCTCTTTTTGGCACATAGTTGTAGCCACTTCTGCTTCCTCTCCGATCGGGCGAACAACGAAACGAAATGAGAGAAAGCAACTTTGCCACACGTGTACGTATACATATGGATACGCGGACGGTATGGGTATCTTTTGTGCTCAGTGCAAGAACCATCAGCCGTGTCAGATCAATCTTCCCTCCGCCCCTTTGTCGCGTAGTTCGGCAATAGCGGTGTCCTATACATAGCCACGGTGCACCTGTATTCCCGACAATGCCGAAAGTTCGAAAACTCGGCACGTAGTAGCATATACATAGCGCTCGGGCCATTTGCAGCGCCGCCGAGTCGAAAAGACGGAGTAAGTACAGTGGCATCGGCGCCGAGAGAAGAGCAGCCGCGTCACTTGCACGCGGTGTGAGATGTATCGAGCAAGTTGCCCCCCGCGTGCCTTTCGTACATACCTACTCGATCCTCGCTGCAGTACGTATGTATATGTACACCTCGGGGGGAGATATTGGCTCTGCGAGAGACTCGCGGTGGAATATGCTGGGTTGCACCTTGTCTCCACGGAGTCCTTTTTTTTTTTTTTTTTTTTTTTTTTTTTTTTCATCTCCTCTAGAGGGTTCTTCGAGTACAGGTTCCGTATCAACTTGGTATATGTATACGTCCAGGCCAAGTCATGGGCTTGACCAAGGGAATCCAATTGACTGGCATTAACGTCCGTCGAGCTGATTAGAGGCTGATAATATAATACGTGCACGGGCGGAGCTTCCCGAGGTTTTTCCCAAGTGCCGTTCGTTCAAGAACTTTGGGGGGGCCCAGGGATTTAAAGACTCCTCCTTGGGCCAAGTTTGTTCGTTAGAGCTTATTGATTGGGCTCCCGAGTTGCCGACTTGGTTTTAACGTGTTTATCTCGACGAGTTCAACCGCCATACAGGCGCTGCCTTGGAACCATTTATATGTATAGGGGTATTTTTCCCAGCTTTCGATCAAAAGAAACGTATAGGGTTTACAGCCTCCGTGTAGCGCGTGTCCATTTGTCATGTGCGGCGCGGCCCGAATCAATGGAGCGTCAAAGGTGCTTTGGAAGAGAAATCAAAAAAATATATAAGGGGAGCCACCTGCGCCGACGTCTCGTCTACATTTCTCACGGCGTATCCCGTATATCCCAGCCCTCCCTCCTCCTCCTCCTTTTCCTTCGAGGGGGGGGGGGAAATCATCCCTCGGAGCTCGTGTTTACGCGCCGCTCTTCTTTCTCCATCGCACCGTACGGGCATAGAAACGCGGGAAGAACAATTTACGACTCCCCCTGGATCGTGTCAAAAAGGAAGCCAGTCCTCCTAGGGCTCCATCAGGTCCTCCCTCTATTTCTCACTGCTCGACCCACGTGCATGCGAGAGCGCGTCATTGGCAAGCGCAACTGTCTCGTATATTTATAACATAC